GGAATACGTCACCGAGGTCGGTACCATGAACATGTTTGTCGTTCTGAAGGACAAGAAAACCGGTCAGAAGGAGCTCATCACTGCCCCTCTTGACGGTACCATTTTGGAAGGTGTTACCAGAGACTCCGTCCTTGCATTGGCTCGCGAGCGTCTTGTCCCCGAGGGCTGGAAGGTCACTGAGCGTAAGTACACCATGAACGATCTGCATGAAGCTTCTCAGGATGGTCGGTTGGTGGAGGCTTTTGGTGCCGGCACCGCTGCCATTGTCAGCCCTATCCGAACCATTGCCTGGAAGGGAAAGCATGTCGACTGTGGCCTGAAAGAGACCGAGGAGTCTGGCGAGACTGCTTTGCGTGTCAAGGAATGGATAGAAGCTATTCAGTATGGTGAAGAGGAACATGATTGGAGCGTTAAGATTGCGTAATTTTGAATTCTGATAGAATAGACTAGAAGTGAGGCGCTCGGTGCACATGTATATATGGTTTGGACACCTAACGTAGCAACTTGATCAAACTAGAAATCAGTTTCGTGCCCATCGTGTCTGAACGACTATGAAAACGGGGCGTTTGGGCAAGTATTTCGTCACCATGTTGAGAACAACAAGAAGTTGCACAAGAGCGTTATAGCGTAACGTAGGGCCAGCATTTGATAGAAACTTGAGAAAGAAGTCTAATGCGTCGTACCATTGAAGGAATTTATCTTTGCCCAAAACAAAAGAAGGCCCTTGAAGCATGTACATGTTGGCGTTTGACGCCGCGTTGGGCCCCGGATTCCACTCCCGTCGAACGTATCCGCCTGTCTATCCCTTCCTTCGTCATCCCCTGCCGCCAGTTTATTCCTTCTTGTCCTTGCTGGGGTCCGGCAGGACGCCCTCTGCTTCTAATCGCCGTCGGGCCTCCTCGAGGGCCCAAGTAGAGACACTGCAACCCCGTTAGTAAACGAAGTCCCCCACAGGGTCGATGCTCCAGGAAGAACCACGCGGCATAGACGATCAGGAACTCTCCGATATAGCAATTCTGCTACCTCGTATTTTATCGAGAAGTCCTTGTCCAACCTGGTGTCGTTGTAGTTCGCGGCGGAGAATTCGACCACATCGGAATAACGGGGTTCGAGGGACTTACGATGTGTCGGGCTTAAAGGCCAGCGCAACACCGGCAGCAAGCAAGCTGCCACAGAAAAGGTACATGGGCCATTCCCAACCCTCGGGCTCCGGCTTCTCGCCGGGCTTGATACCCCAGAGCCAGCCGGTAGGAGGTTCGAATTGTGACTCGCCGTGGCCGCCGCCTTGCCGTCGGGAGGTTACGGAGAAGGGTCTGGTAGCGATGGGCTGGCGGGCGCAACGCACCGCTCGCAGCGGAGCAACAGAGTGTCGAATAATTGCCATTTTGGCCTGGCCCGATTGCGTTTTGTATGGTGCGAACGGACTGTCGTATCTCGGTAGCCGGTGATTCGTGATGTTGTTGATGTGATCAATGCAGAGGAGGTCAATGGCGACAGAAGCGGCGGGCCATATCACGTGACCCACATTGCACTATGTACACGCCCCTTCGCCATATCGGCGGCACCTCATTCGACGAACTACTACTCGTGCCACGCCCCACTATTTTAGGGGCCTCGTTTCACTCACCACCTAAAGGTGGTGCTTATTACTAACGCGGCTTGATTATTAACGCGGCCTAATTTCTAATCTAATAACTTAATTAACCTCTTCGCCTAAAATATACACCCTTTTCGTTATAAATTTCTAGGTATTTTAATATAAAAGTTTAATATTATTAACGTGCTTTTTTCGCGGCTTTAAAAAACGCTTTTTTAATTAAGTTATAGTGTTTTTTATTAACTATTTTAATAATTTAATAAGCTAAAATAGCATTATTTTTAGCCTTTTAACGTATTATCTTACGCTTATCTTTTATAAAAAGTACGCTACTTATTTATAATAATTAATTTTTTATAGCTTTATTGTTACGAACGACACTGCAGTACTTAAGGAGGGGGTATTCCGCTATAGTAGATAGTCTAGTTCTCTATTAATTAATCTAAGCAATAGTCTTACTATTAAGAGTTATACTCTTAACGGCCTTATTTTAATACTGCTTAAAAGCTACTCCGTAGCATTCAACCTAACTTACTTCCTAAGAAACAGACCTACTATGCCTTAGAACCTAAGCCACCGTTACATTTATATTATTATAATAATTATTAAGTTACTTTTATACGCTTAAGATCCCTTTTTATTTAAATAAGCTTAATAGTAGTAATAAGAGACCTATAAATAAATCTACTAATATTATATGTAAATTTTAGGTTAAGAGAGGTATCTTTATTTAATATATCTTATAACTTATTAATAACCTTATTTATTTACCTTAATATTATAGGGGTCTTAAAATTAAAAGAGCTATAAATTAAAGCTAATAGTAATAATATATATTACTTAGCTTATTATATAAGAGTCTTAATAATTAGCTTTAGGTTATAAGGTAAAATTTTAGTTTTTTAAAAGGCTAATATTATAATAAAGGTTTTAAAAGCTTATTTTTAAATATCTTAAATATAGCTAAGAAATTTAATTTTCGTAATACTTATAACCAGACCTCTAAATGTATTGTATTTTTTGTATTTTTTACTATACTGTATT